CAAGAGCGGCGCGCCCCGGGCCGCGGCCTGCCCTCTGCCCCGCTTTGCCGCCTTCGGGCCCTGCTCGGCGCTCGGCCTCTTCCCCGCCTGCCAGCACTTAGCGCCCCCGGCCCTGGTCTCCTGGAATTGGTGAGGCGGCTGCGGGATGCGGACGCCTGGAGCGTGCCCGGAGTTTGGGCCCTGAGCCCGAGACCCGGAGCGCTCCCGGGCACCACCTCCCTGTGGGCACGCCTCTTCCAGCGCCGGGCGTCCTTACCACCGCCCTTACCATCACAGGGAATTTTCACCAAGATCTCCCCTTTCCTTTTCCCTCGACCACCAACCCCCAAACTAGAATTTATTGCCTGAACTTTATTTGTATATTTTTAAATAGCTATTTGTATGGGAAGCCATTTATTTTAAAAGAAATAGAATATTTTTTCTCAGTGTGGTGCGAGAATAAAATGTATAGGGTTGGGTCTTCTTGTGTGCCTGCCGGGAACGTAGTTGGAACCTGTGCTTTCCGGAGGGCAGTCCACATTGTTTTAGGATACTTCTAGGATCTAGGCGGCGGGTGTTGGGAGGAAGTAGAGGCCACCTTGGGGGTTCCCATCAGCAAGAGACAGATCTGGCTCCCAACTGATTTGCAAACACCTCTGGGCTCCAGGAGCTGCTGGACTTTCAAACACCAGAAATCAACCTAGTCGGCCAGGCAGGGCATAAGGAGTATCTCTTAAGGATTCTCTGGAAACCTGCCATTGCACAGGGGCAAATGTATCGCACCCTCTGTAGCCTAGATCTGACTATAAACTGCAGAGTTCAGCAGCAAAGCCTTGGGAAGGAAGTGCACCCCCCCACCCCCCAAATAGTAACACCCAGTTAAGCCTGCGAGTGCCTCAGTGGCTGTGCTTTGTCTCTTGTTGGTGTGACACCTGGTAGGACTGAGACGGGGATGGTTTAGTGAAGAAATCAAAGACTGATGGGGAATGACCCCCTTCAGGGCTTGCAGCTAAGGGAGGATGCTTTGGAGAGCCCTGGTGCAGTGACATAGGAGCGGGATCTGTGATTCGTCTCATTTCACCCACAGTGCCAGTGCACACCAAGTCCTAGGATCTAGTTTTCATCCCTAACTGCTCTGTGCCTGGGGGAGGGCCTCCTAACCAGGCAGTCACTCTCTCCTGGAGTAATGATCTCACCAATGCCTATTGCAGGGACATGTGCTTGGGGAGAGCAGTTAGGGCATCAGATACAGCAAGGGCTCCCTGAGGTCTGTGAGGAGGAGGCAGTGTTATCACCTGGGATTTTGGAAGCAAGGGAGGAGGGGGAAGGGAGTGGGGTATTTGGGTCTCAGCTGCTGGCCACCTTGTCTTCCATATGGATGCGGTTATCTAAGAAGAATCTCGATCCTTAAACCTCCTTTTGTCTTGGGGACTGAAAAGGGCATTGTCAGGCCTGAAAAGGACCTAGACAAAATCCGCACTGTTTCGATTCAGGACTCTGTTTAATCAGTCCCTGGTGACAATATAGTGGGTGTTAGTGAGGACAATGGTATCTTTTTAAACCTTGTGGCCTTCAGGAAGACAAAGGGCTTGAATTTTATGGGCTTACAACTTCAATTAGAACAGTGCCAGTGTGATGGGAGATTATCAAATTTGTATCATAAAACCTCTTTCTAATAAATGATTGCTGGGGAGGGAGCCATGACATTGTAAGACATATATAGGAAACTGCCTGGTGGCTGCCCAGTTGGCCCTGGCAGAGCAGATGGGAAAGAAAAGGAGGAAAGGATTTCTGAGGAAGAACAGGGTTGGGACTTCCCCCTCTAGTCAGCTGGCTGTGTGCTTGGCTCTTCCCTGTTCTTCCTCCATAAAAGGGTTGTTTTCTCCAAGAATGAAAGTAAAGATTCATAGCTTGTTTACTGCTTGTTTGGGGGTGGGGGGTGCACTTCCTGACAAAGGCAGGAATATTCTTGGGGAGAAAGTACAAAAGAAATCACCACCAAACAGGTTTTTTGTTTTTGTTTTTTTGCCTTGGAGCTGCAGAGAAATTAGGTGTGAGAGCACCCTGAGTGGAGAGAGCCTATTATATATGAGACCCACAGGATCTCAACCAAATTCATCCAGATATCTTAACAATCTCAAAGGCCACTTACCTGCTTCCCAGTGAAGTAGTCAGGAAACCCAACCAGCACACCAGCCTGTGTCCTGGACAGGAGGCACAAATTCCTATGACAGTAGCATTGGGAACCACACTATATAAAGTTACCTGCTTCTTTTTGCTGCTTTTATTCCCCCCCCCACCCTTTCTCTAGAGCAGAAAGCCTTTCTCTAGAGCAGAAAGGCTCCAGGGGAGACAAAAATGTACTCCATCACTTCTGGTCCATTTTGGAGACTCAGGCTGTCATTTTTTTCTGTTTACACTGTGATGAGCTGGAAAAGATAAATCAATTTCCTTTGTAAATTTACCTTTATCAGGATTTGACATTTATATCAAATCAGTTATTTTAGGTTCTGACAAGAAAGGTCAAGCCCAAGATCTTTCTACCAGCAGTTATGAGTATAGTTAATATTCTTCCCTAATATTTCAATCTACCACCCATCGCCAAAATCACAAGGCAGATTATGCTCAGTAAATTTTTTATTGAAACTATGTTCTAGACTTTGTGCTAGGCACTTTCATAGTTGATCTCACAAAAACCTTATGCAGGTAAATCGGATACCCCCATTTTATAGATAGGAAACTGAGGCTTAATGTTTAAGAGTAAGTGACTTGTTCAAAGCAGTTGTAAGCTGAGAGAATGCCACGTAGGTCTTCAGCTTAACCCACATTTAGACACCCTGCTAATTGCCTTTAGGAGGAGAACAACTGTTATTTTTTTAAAGATTTATTTATTTGTGCCTACAGAATTGGGGTGTAGGCCAGAGGTACAGGGGCAGTGAGAGGATTCAACAAAGAAAAAGCAGGGAGCAGAACAGGCAGATTGATGAAATACACTGCTGAGGAGAGCAGTGGACAGGTCAGAAGAACAATTGTTATTGCACACTACCCCATAGCAAGAAACCAGTCTTTTTGGTAGTCTGCATAGATGAGAATGTTTCAAAAGCACCCTACACAGGTCAGAGCCACTTACAGACGCTGATCACTTGTTGTCATAGAGGTTACTAATATTTATTGATGTTTCCTGTGTGCCAGGCACTGTTCTAAATTCTTTTATTCATATTAAGGCATTCAGTCTTCACAGCCACTCCCTGAGATGGCTCCACTGTTTCCATTTTGCAGTGAGGAAACCAAAGGTCAAGGAAATTATAAGTAACTGGTCCAGGGTCACATACCTAGTAAGTGACAGAGAGGGCATGAATCCAAGCAGTCTGATCTCCAGATCACACCTCTAACTCCAGGGTGGGAATTACAACCCATTCTTTATGTTTTATTTCTCTCAGTTGATGGTCCTAGTTACCTTACAGACAATTCTCCAAGAGACATGTTTTGTAGCATCTTTCTGTCTCCTTTCTTCATCTTTTCTCCTTTACCTCACCCCCATGCCCATGCCATCAGTCAACCCTCTAGCTTTTTTTTTTAAAAGATTTTTATTTATTTGTGCATACAGAACTGGGGTGCAGGCCAGAGGCTCAGGGGCTGTGAGAGGCTTCACCAGAGACAGAGTGGGGAGAAGGACAGATCTACGAAGTACACTGCTGAGGGGAGCAGTGGGCGGGTCAGGAGAGGTCTGCCACTCCATGTGGTCACCTCCAGGGCAGGTGAGAATCAAACTCATGAGGAAGTAGCTTTAGCTTCTCAGTGCAGTGCTTTAACCTGCTGCGCCACCAGGGAGGAGCCAACCCTCTAGCTTTTTAAAAAAGATTTATTTGTGCATACAGAACTGGGGTACAGGCCAGAGGTGCAGGGGTGGTGAGGGGATTCACCAGAGCAGAGTGAGAGAATAGGCAGATTGATGAAGTACACTGCTGAGGTCTGCCGAGCCATGTGGTCACCTCCCAGGCAGGGATCAAACACATGCTGAAGAGGCTTTAGCTTCTTAGTGCTGTGCTTAACCCATTGAGCCACCAGGGAGGGCCCCAAACCTCTAGCTTTTTGAAATACACACACAGCCTCTGTGACTCTCCTGTGTCTGTTTGTGTGCATTCTTGTCCAGCTGTCAATGAAACACATCCCTTGTTTGCAGGTCACAATATTTTCCTGTGACTCTCATTTCTCCACCATTCTTCTTCCAGAAAAATATCTGTTACTACTGACTCAACACCAGTTGCTACCAGTTGCTACAAGCTCTGAGAAGCTTCCCATAGGTTTTCCCACTTCTAGGCCCAAATACCTTGGAGGTTTATGAATCTGACATCCCTAGCCCTTTCTCTAGTCATCTCTTTCCTTCCTAGGTCTCCAGTGTCATCTTTATCATGAAATATCGTCCTCTTCACATTTTCTCTCTTCTTCCATTGTAAACATTTTCACTTCATCTCACTTAAGACTCTTGTGGGTGGAGATTGCAATTTTCTCTTCAATTTTCTTTCCTCATTGTTCAAGAGATCTTACATCTTAGCACATCTCTTATCTGACCAATTTAGCACTTTAGAATCTTAGATAATGTGCTACTGATGGGTTAGAAGGAAGTTATTTGAGTCCGGGTTAACCTATACCTCCCCTTCCAACAATGGTGTTTAGATGTTTATTATTCTTTTGCTTGTTGACAGGTTGTCTCTCCACCACCACCACACACACACATACTTTTTACTACCTTTAAAGCATTTTAGGCTTAGGAATACATGTCCAGTATATATTATATACTTTAATATAGTTAGTTATAGTTTGGGCATGTTAACTAGTTTGTTAACCATATTTTCTACTCTGGGTATTCCATTTAGCCTGCTGAAGCAGGTTAACCGTAAAAATGAAGACTAGGGCCCTCCCTGGTGGCACAGTGGATTAAAAAATAACATTAGGAAGCTAACTGCAGCCACTTCAGCGCGAATTCTGTCCCCAGCCAGGGAGCTGACCCACATGGCACAGCAGACCTCTCCTGTCTTGCCCACTACTCCCCTCAACAGTGTATTTCAGTACATCTGCCCCTTCTGCTCCCACTTTGTGTCTGGTGAATCCTCTCATCACCCCTGTGTTTCTGGCCTGTACCCCTGTTTTATATGCATAAATAAATAAATCTTTTTTAACAAATGAAGACTAGACAGTCAGAGGACTTTTGTACTGGGATAGTATTGTCCCTGCCCTAGGGCATCATCTTGTCCATGAATGTGATTGCCCTGTTTAATGTTCAACATCGGCATGCAAAATTGTGTCCCCCAGATCACTCATTATTTTCACAAATGTTGTAGGACAATTGACTAAACGTTACTTTAATT